GAAGGAAGGAAGGAAGGAAGGAAGGAAAGAAAAGAAAGAAAGAAAGAAAGAAAGAAAGAAAGAAAGAAAGAAAGAAAGAAAGAAAGAAAGAAACTCAAGGTGAAGGGGATCGAGCAGGAGAAGAAATATCCCAGCACTTAGGAGGCTGAGGCAGGAGGATCCCTGCAAATTCGAGGCTAGCCTGGACTACCTGAACTACAGAGTGAGACCTGTTAAAAAAGCGAAAAAATAATTTCCTTTGAGGCCATAAAGCTGGAGAAAGGGCCTGGGAAATGTTGTGCACAAAAGTTTTGAGCACTCTATAACCTTCACTCGCTCCAAGGGGAGCTCAAATAATCCCAGCACTGAGGCAGGAGGATTGCCAGGAGTTCCAGGCCAGCCTGGGCTACTTAGTTCAAAGCTAGCCTGGAACACACAGCGAGACCCTGTCTCAAAACAAACAAGGGGAGCTCAAAATGAACCAGGTGCTTTTAAAAATACACATACCATGCAGGCCTGTAATCCTAGCACGCAGAAGGCAGATGCAGGAGGATTACCTCGAATCTGAGGCCAGCCTGGGTTACATAAGAGCTCAATGCCAGCTCAAACTGCAGCAGACCCTGTCTCAAAAAACAAAACAAAACAAAAAAACAACCCAGCTGGGTGTGGTGGCAAATGCTTGTAATCTCATCTACTTCGGAGGCTGAGGCAGAAGTGTTGCAAATTTGAGCCTTGACTGTCTCAAAATAAAAAGGTTTAGGGCATAGCTCAGTAATAGAGCATTTGCCCAGCCTGGCATGTGAGAGACCCTGAGTTCAAACCCTAGTATTGGAAAAAAAAAACCCAAAAGAACAGGAAAAGTATATGTAATTCAAATTTCAATGTCCATGAAGTGTTGATTTTTGTAAATAAATTATATATATATATATATATATATAATGAGCCAGGTGGTGATGCACACCTGTAATCCCAGCACTTGGGAGGCTGAGGCAGGAGGATCGCTGCGAGTTCAAGACCAGCTTGGGCTATAAAGTGAGCTTAAAGCCAGCCTGAACTGCACAGCGAGACCCTGTCTCAAAAAGACAAAAAAAAAAAAAAGGAAATTTTTCTTCTCTGTATAGTCTAAAATATTTGCTACCAGGCTACTTCCAAAAAAGGTTTGTAATTCTCCACTGGGCCACACCGGTGCGCTGGATAGCAAGAAATAGGAAATGAGCTGCACCCTCTCTGGGGGATGGACAGGCTGGCTCGGGAATGCCACGCGCTGAGCAGCGGGGAAACGTGGCCCAGTGAAGGGGACTGGGGTGAGCTCAGCGGGGCGGATGGTGCTGCGGAAGCTGAGGTGGGAGGGGCACAGGTTCGAGTCCTGCCTGGGAAACACAGCAAGCCCTCGTCTCGAAAAAGTTTTTTAAAGGGCTGGGAATGTAACTCAGTGCAAAAGCCCTGGGTTCGATCCTCAGCAAGAAGAAAACAAAACCTCAAATATTAAGGGGGAAAGCAAGCTTCAGAAGATATGTTGCAAGGACGTATAAAACCGTGCAAGACCCCGCCCCTCAAAACACAGCCAAGTGCAGCGGCGCCGTGAAGAAGGCTGGAGCGGCCGGCGTCAGGCCGGGGAGCTGGGCTGCGGGAAGGTGTGGAACTGAGGCGCGGCTGCCTCACACCCATCCAGCCTTCCTGCTCCGCCCTGACGATTCCTTCACCGGACAGCAGGGGGCAGCGAGGAGCTCGTCCTGTGGGCCCAACCCCAGCCTGCCCAGCGGCCCTGCTCTTCCCGGTAAGCAACAGGTCTGCAGGCTCAGGGCAGGGCTCCCTCCCAGCAGTCAGGACCGGTGTCCTCACAGCAACAAAACCTGCACTGGTGGTGGCTTCCCTGATGCCCTTGAGAACCAAGGCCAGCCTGAGAACAGAAGACGATGTTAAGTAAAAATTATTTGATCCTTTCGGGTTTTTTTGTTTGGTTTTGTTTGGTTTGGTGGGGGGGTTGGATTGCGAAGAACCCAGGGCCTTTGCACTGAACTGTATCATCAGCCCTTGTTTTGAAATTTATTTTGAGCTGGGCATGGTGGCACAGCTGTAATCCTGGTACTCAGGAGGCTAAAGAAAAAGGATCTCCACAAATTCAAGCCCAGATTGGGATACAGAGTGAATTCAGGACCAGCCTAAACTATATAGCATGACCCTTACAAAATGGAGCCAGGTGTGGGGGCACAAGCCTGCAATCCTAGCACTTGGGAGGCTGAGGCAAGAAGATTGCTGTGAGTTCATGGCCAGCCTGGTCTACACAGTGACTTCAAGGCCAGCCTGAACTGCATAGATTCCCATCTCAAAGCCCCCCACAACTAAATAAATAATTAAAAAAAAATCCATTTTAAGTAGGGTGTGGTGGTGCACACCTATAATCTCAGCAACAGGGAGGCTGAGGCAGGATTACCAAGAGTTCAAGGCTAGCCCAAACTACACAAAAATACCTTGTCACAAAACAGACAGGCCCCAAATGGTCCCAACCAGTTTTGACCAGTTCAACCCATCCCAATGGGTTCCAACTGGACAAGCCAGTTCTGATTGTTCTGACTGGTTCCAACTGGCCCAGACTGGTTCTGGCCTGTCCTGGCCAGTACTGATGGGCCCAGATGGGTTCCAACATGTTCCAACTGGTTCCCACCAGCTCCCAACTAGACCAGACCACTTCTAACTAGCCCCAACTGGTTTCATCTGGCCCTGACAGGCCCCAGTGGTTCCACTCAGGTTTGTTCAGACCTGACCATGTCTGATCAGAGAGAACCAGTTCTAACCGGACTGGACTGGTTCCAGCCAGCCCTGACTAGTTTTGACTGGCCCTAACCAGTTCTGACTGGTTCTGTCCAGCCCACAGTGTTTCCAAATGATTTCAATTGGCCCCGATCAGTCCAGACCAGTTCCAACCAGAGAGGACCCATTCTGACTGGTTCCGGCCCAATCAGACCCAAATGGACCATCTGAGACAGGATCTTGCTAAATTACCTCTGCCACCCAAGAGTGCTGGAATTATAGGTGTGACCCACCACACCTGCCTTTATCCCATCTTCAGTAAACTGTACCAAGTTGGGGCTGGGGATTTAGCTCAGTGGCACAGCGCCTACCTGCCAAGTGCAAGGTCATGAGTTCAATTCCTGATACCAGAAGAAAAACAAAACAAACAAATAAAAAATAAATAAACTGTACCAAGTTACAGATGAGCAGAATTTCTTTTCTTCTCTCTCTCTCTTTTTTTTTTTTTTAGACAGAATCTCACTATGTAGTCATGCTGCCCTTAACCTCCCTATGTAGTCCAGGCTGGCCTCAAACCTGTGGTAATCCTCCTGCCTCAGCATCCTGACTGCTAGAATTATAGGCAGGTGACACTACACCCAACACTTGGGATTCCTTTTTAATTTGAAAACCATTGAAACTCGAAGGCCAGGCATGGTGGCGCACGCCTGTAATTCCAGCACTCGGGAGGCTGAGGCAGGAGGATCCTTGCGAGTTCGAGAACAGCCTGGTCTACAAAGAGAGCTCAAGGCCAGCCTGAACTGCATAGCAAGACCCTGTCTCAAAAAGACAAAAACAGGCGCTGGGGATTTAGCTCAGTGGCACAGCACCTGCCTGGCAAGTGCAAGGTTGTGAGTTCGATTTCCAGTACCCCAGAAAAAAAAAAAAAAACCTCGAAACTCGCTGTCATGGCTTTCTTCACAATAGCGGGCCCTGCGTCCTCCAGGATGGACTCTTTATTTTGCTTTTTCCTCTATTAGTCAGCCCAAGCTTGCTCTGCAGAGCCTGTTTCTCCTTCACTCTTCACTTTTACTTTTTCAAATAAACTTTGCTACT